TAGATTGATCTATTTTTGAAGTTTACACAGGAAAAACAAAGGCAAGTAAATTGAGACAAAACAGTCAACTCGCAACCAGATGGAAACCAATCAATGAATACCACACATTTAAAGTCAGCAAAGAGCCTTAAGTTGTATTCCGGCCTTACCATGTGATGTTTAAGAAGTCAGGCATACAGCAGAATTGACCTATCATTAAGCCCTGCCCCCCTTAGTTACTGTTGCTCACTCGGACAAACAAACGGAGTTGCTCACGGTCTTACAATGACAGCTGTCTGTGAAAACCTTCTTCCGAAGTGTTTCTGATAAATTTGGGACACAGATGGACCTTCAAGTGAGACTTAAATATACCATGGAGGGATATACAAAAGATATTAAAATAAATATGTAAAAATACAGATCACAATGCAAACGGGAGAATTGTGTTACGGTCGTCACGATTACAATGACAACATCCCGGACCAACACCGTTCATATACCGCAGAGTAAGATTAAATTAATTTACTTTTAACCAGATTAATATGGAGAGGCACTCTAATATAGACCTTCATTTATGTGTTTTTGACTTTCACTGCATGGTACATGACGTGAGAACAGTTCGCTATTTAGGTTTATACGTTAGCAAGCATGGACTTGCTAACTTTAACGCTAACGTTAGCTAGTTTTAGCCAGAGATACTTTGTTGAAGCACAAGATAACATTAACGTTCTGCTTGAGCAGATGAAAAGTGTAACTTAACGCGACTATGACAACCAGAAAATGAACGTTTTCGTCTTCATTGTGATTGGGGTTGAATGCTTAGGGACATTTTGCTCTGTTTTGGATGGATTTAGGAAATGGAATAAAATACATTACATTGCCTATCCTCTCAGGATAACTGGAATTAGTGTTACAAGTACCCTAGGCACATCGTTTTTCCATTTTTGTAGCATAAACATCATTAAACTGATGCGAGCTTCGGATCTTCCAATGTTTCTCGATGGCGCTGAAACCTAAAGATGTCAGAGTTCCGCTCCCCGTGCAACTGATACTCGACTGCCATTGGCTCATCTGCGTTCGAGGGGAGGGGCTTACCGATAGGTCAATTGAGGATAAACAATCCAGGACTGTCCTACAGAAGAACAACAGCTTTGTCTAAGCTGTCAAAACATCAATGTCAGCTCTATTCTGATGAAATGTATCAAAGTGAAATCGGATAAGATTCTATACAAAAACACGCAGCTCCAGGAGATGGAGTCAGCATCATTCCCGAATGGTTCTCCCTTTCATCCTGAAGGTTATACTGACAGCTACCACAGAGGCCACACACAGAAGAACAGACAACCGCTTCTGACAGCTTGTCAGGGGTACAAAGCACAATAAAGGCAAACAAGTATTTATAGAGAAAGGAAAACCAGACGCTCATTTTTAATAGTACGCCTGAGAGCTCAAGCAGTACTGAATCAATACACAGGACAATACAACCACTGTATTCAGAAATCAGTTTAAATCATTGAAAACCGAAATTATGATAACTAGCAAAACAGAAAACAGTTGAAACAGAATGAATAAGATTTGTACTCCATCTTGAACGAGCTTCAACTTTTGAGTGTTAAAAGTCTCTCAATCATTTATGATGGTGCACTCTCTTTGTGGTTCCTTACAACAGCAAATTCCCATTATTTATATATAGTACATTACATTTACATTCAAACATTAGGGCTCAATGTTAGTGATGGCTCACTGATAATTGACAAAACTGGCCCTTGCCCTAATAGGCCAATTCTTAATGTCACTGACATTCATTAATCAAACACATGCATTCTATCCCTTGTTTTTTGGCTGCAAGATGTAGTTAAACAGCTGCCTAGAAACTCTAAGAAAAATTTGTGATAGTGTACTTAATATAAAATAGAATATTTTGAAAATGATAAAAAAGCCAGTAATGTTTTGCAACAGTGTTGCCTCCAAGTTACTGTAAAAACCCTTTGAAAATGTCTAACAGTGTATTTGTAGAATAACATGTTGGAACTTCTGCACTACTAAAATCAGTGCTACTGGCACAACTAAGCAGAAAACAAATTACAGTTGAGTCATGTACGAAACTATCCTATAACTAAACTTAGAAACCACAAAGAAGAATCTAAAAAATGTATATTCGTGTTCTTCTGACACTAACTTTCCGTTTTGGGGTTGCTTGGTATTCATGCTGTTTTACCTAGGCTCTGAGATCACTAACTTTTTTATATATATATATTTAAATATTGTTTTTTCCCCCCAAAAAGGATATTTGAAGTATCCGTTCTCAAAATATTAGACATCATTAAAGTCGCTGTTTAAGCTTGATGTTTTCTGACTAATTAATAGGGACCTGGGATCTCCAAAACAGAACAAGGGATGAAACAAAATTTGTTAATCTGAAATGCAATAATCCACAAACTCACAATCTCAAAGACATGAAGCTTTTATTCTGCCTGGAGTTTATAGCAAAATGCTATCATAAGACAGAATGGGGAAAGGACCCAGCAACACAGCAGGGACATTTTCTGGGACACCAGCCAACACTCACAAATCCTTTCTTCTCCAGTTCTTTCCCTAACCCGTACCCCATCCTGTCCTGCAGCGTGGCGCACCATTCTCCTCTCACATGGACAAGAGGATTTCAGCCTCTTACATCAGAGGGTTCAATGTTAAACTGAACTGGACTGGACTGTGGTGCGATGATGAGATAATGAGAGAAATATGGGTGGAAAGATCTCATATTATGGGTGGAAAGATTATGGGTGGAAAGATCCCCCCCCCCCCCAGACCCATGTCTGGTTGTTAGATATTTAGCGTCTACCTAAATTGCGTTTCGATGCCAGGTCAGCACGGTCTAACTTCCTGGGATATTTTATTTTAAATTTAAGCAATTACAAATATGTGGTTTGATTCTACACAACTGCCTGAAGAAAAATACCTCCTTTAAAAAAAACAATTAATTCATAAAAAATTCTAGGCAAAGGAAAGAATGAAAATCAGGCAAACGATTCTACTGTTACAGAATGCAAACTGAACTCCAGCAAAGGAGAGTTCACCACAGCCAGCCTTTTAAATCTGTGCAGACAAGAACAATGTGCTCTAATTTTATCAGAGCAAGACGGAGGCAGTGTGCAGCCACATAAGCCAATATTAAATTATGTCCAGCTATAAAGTGGGGCTAGACACCAAATAGAAAGCCACAATGTACACAGAGAATCCCATGAAAGACAAGGAATTCCAAGTCTCTTTCTACTTTTACAAGCTCTGCGGTTCAGGGGTTTGTGTGCACCCGTATAGTCCAGAGCGAGATCGCTCATCCGTATTGCTTGCCCTTTTGACACAAGCTGAACACTGGCGTCTCACGCCTCCAAGCTTTGACCCCAATCCCCTGCAGTGCCATGAGGGACGGTGGTTTCCTAAAACCAGACGAAACGGGGGAGAGCTGAATCTGGGTGTACTGGAGCAAAGGAGCTCCTCGTTTTGGTGTGATTTATAATTAAGGTTGAGCAGCACACACTCAAAGGGTAGACGGGCTATGAATTACAAGTGAATTGCCCAATTCATTTTATCACTGGCATCAGCCAAGTGTGACATGATTTTCAAGAGAGAAAAATAGATAGAAGAAAAAAAATTATGGTTCTCAATTAAGCACACAAGACAATAAGCAAAGCTACAAAAGCACACAGTGACAATATGGATAAAAAGTACTAGAATAATAGGGGAGAAGGATGGCAAATCCAAATTCCTATTTCTCAGAGAGCAAAGATGGTTATCTAAATAAAATAATAATTTTTACATTTAAAAAAATGCAAAAATATCTAACTGCTCTGAGTATTTAGATATTTCACAAGGAGAAACAAATGAAATGAAATGAAAAACCAACTCATATTCACACGAGTTTGTGAATATAAACAGCTAACAGAGCAAGAATCAATCTAGGCTAGATCTAAGAAACTAACTCTAATTGACTTCTTTTACTTCTAGTCTTTCTTTTCTCTTTCCTGCAAAATATATGTCAGTACACAAGTTATAGGCTGTCCTCTTTGTGTGTTTTGCTGGAAATCACATAACCAACAGAAATTTAATTTCATGATGAATAGATCCCTTTCAGTGTGAAAGAACAATGGCAACAGTGAGGAGCCTGTTAATTGGAGGATTTTAAGTGTAATGTTTAATAGGATCAGATGCATGCGATATTAGTTGTACCCACCAGATTCACACTGGAATCTTCTATTATTTTGAGAGACAGGAAGAGTAATGGTGAAAGTTCAGCCCTTCATTTTGTACCACCTCAAACATTTAAAAATGCAGAAACGTTTTAGGGATATTTTTTTGACACTGACAATGTGATATCACTCCCCTTAGGGCAAGTTATTTATTTTTGGCTAATTTTTCAGTGCAACCAAATTAACATTAAAATAACCAAATATCAGGTTCACTGCATAGTTTATTACTATGGAACTGTGGTAGTCTGGTATGCTAATTAACATATCTGAGCACAGTATATTTTAAAAATAAACAAAGGTAAATAAATATAACAAAATTAAAGACTATTTAAAATATATATATATTTCAGTGTAAATAAAGGCTCTAATTACAGATTACGCGACTAAACAGCAGTTGGATAAATCTAAAACAGTATTTTATCCAAGCTATCATTTATCTGACCCAGTCAGCAAAGTAACTAACAGTAAACACATTACAGGCTCAGTCTAACGTTACCTGCATTAACTTGGTTAAGAGTGTTTATGGTCCAGCTCGTCGTTGAGTTAGAAGCTACAAGCTTTCAAGTAACAGCCCAGATTTTTAACCACTAAACCACAGCACACAAATGTCTTCAACTGATTAGATTTAAAGTTGAACTCACAGCCTGTTTTAGAGATGATCAAAGATTTTTTTTAAACCCAGTGAGCTGCCTATCTAGACAACATTGGTTGCAATCGTAGATGTTAACGAGTCAGCAGCCGAGGCTTTGAGACGGAGCCAATATCTCAACTTACCTTTTTGTTCACAAGTCGAGCTTTGGCAGCTTTCTGTAAAAAAAAAAAAGTGTCGCATGTTGTACAGCAGTACAAAAAGATTCTGATTCATTTAGGATGCTGTCGTTGAAGGTAGTGGCCTATGTTGACCGTAGTCTCGCTCGGGTCTGGAGCAGAGCTAGCACCCACATAAAAACCCCCCCCCCCCCCCCCCCCCGAAAAAGGTACCCGTAAAAACAGACAGACCCAGGTAACAATGTATGAAGCAGCTGAATTTCCGAAAGAGTCCCAAAAAGGCAGCAGAACGAAAGTAAACGCAAAATTCAGTGTGCAAAGGACTGAAATTTCTATGCAGATGCTCTGATGGAGATTATAGATGCATGCATGCTGGAAAAACAGCAGATGACATTTCCATGACATATACCCTCGAAAAGACAGGGAAAAAATAAAACAGCGAGGCAGTTTGTCAAGTACAGTGGCATAAATTGGTCATCAGAAATAGCATCTTCATCTACGGTGCAAAATGAAGAAGAGGGCAGTTTGAAGCTGCTACTGTCTGGTAGACTGACATGAGATTATACGATTCGAGCTGTTTCATTAAAGTGCAAAAATAAAGATAGCGAGCGATGTGGCGAGCAGTCTGGCTGCAGTCGTGTGGGAAAATCCATAGATGTTTTTAAAACGACAGTGGAAATATCCAGGAATAAGTGCGGAGTGTCCGGAGAAAGCGCTGAGAGTGTCGGGTCAGGATCAAGCCTCTGCAGCCATTTTGTTCGGTATCAACACAGCAGACGTGCTGCTCAACTCCGGTGGGAGGGGCTTAACCGCTAATACATTTCAATATGACGTTTAACCAACCAATAAGCAAGCAGACTGATTTTTACATCGGAGCACCGCCCATAAAAGGTTTCAAAGCGTCCAGCTGGAATTCACAGGGGCTGGAATGGGCGTTCAACGGAGACCACTGCACGCTCTCTACACAAACAAACAAACAATAAAAAAGAAGCTTTTTCATCTATCTATCTATCTATCTAGACACACATTACACATGAAGGGAGTAATCTAATCTACATTCAAGGATGCTCCCATATAGTATAGACTCTGCCACTGTTTGACCTATAGTGTGATTCCTAGTGTGACATTCTGAAATACAAAAGGGAGAAAGAGGAAAGATTCATGCAGCAGGGTCCAGGCTTTATACTGTTGTAATTTCCCATGGAACAAAAAGGGGGATGAAAGGGCTGGTTAAAGAAAACAAGGCAGAGGCAATTTTTAGTTATTTTCTAAATTAAAACAATACAACATTTTGAAGTACAAAAAAGAAAGAATGAAAAAACATTACATTTAAAGGGTTTGTTCACCCAAAAATGAAAATTATGTCATTAATTTCTCACCCTCATGCCGTTCATCTTCAGAACACAAATTAAGATGTTTTTGATGGAATCAGCAATGATATTACCACAATCAACACACAGAAATGTGAAAGAACATCGGTAAAATAGTCAATGTGACATCAGGGGTTCAACTGTAATTTTCCGAAGCTACTAGAATACTTTTTGTGCACAAAGAAAACAATAATAACATAACTTATTCAACAATACTCCTCCCCAAGTTACCGTCTTCTGCTATTTTGGAGAGTACCCCAGAAAGTAATCAACGTAATCAGCGTTGTTTATTATGTATGTTATTATTGTTTTCTTTGCGCACAAAAAGTATTCTCGTAGCTTCGCTACCCCTGATGTCACATGTACTATTTTACCTATGTCCTTGCTACGTTTCTGTGTGTTGATCATGGTAATATCCTTGCTGTCTATGGAGGGTCAGAGAGCTCTCAGATTCCATAAAAAATATCTTAATTTGTGTTCCGAAGATGAACGAATGTCTTACGGGTTTGGAACGACATGAGGGCGAGTAATTAACAACAGAATTTTTATTTTTGAGTGAACTATCACTTTAAACTAAATGATCAAATTTTAGGTGAGCAGCTTTACATGAAACATGTGTACAACTGACATCACAGGGGAGAAGGTATTGTCTGACACAGCACACAACATGGCTACATTACAATTCTCACAGCACTTCATGATATAAAATAACACGCTAAAGCCTCTTTAAATGACACACACACACACACACACACAGACACACA